GCTCCTCTGCTCTGCCGGGGGAGGTGGGAAATCCCGGACATTGTGAGTGCTTTACAAATTCCCCCCGGACGCTATTTTTAGCACGAAAAGGAGGACATGTCCGGGTAAATCCGGACGAATGGTAACCCTAGCTCAACGCTATGCCGCACCCCCACTCCAAACCTTCCCCCAATGCCATACCCCTGCCCAATTATTCCCGCTCCCACTCCACCCACAGTCTGTCTCTTCCCCGCCTCCTCTTGTAAGCACACTCCCTCCCCGCTCCTCCCCCTCCCTCCCAGCCTCTCCTGCACACAGTGGAACAACTTATTGCAGCAGGCAGGTGGTGCTGGAGGGAGGGGGAGGAGTTGATCGGCAGGGAAGCCAGCTCCTCCCTCAGTGTCACCTACTGGTTGCCCTGGAGCACCCACCTATGTTTCTCATTCAGTCTCACCTGCAGGAATTCATTTGCTGGTTTCTGACACTTCTCCTCCAGCTCACTGATCAGCTCACTGAGACGGGAAACCTGCTCGGAGAGTTGACTGACATTTTCATTCTGGATCCTCACAATCTCTTCGTCCAGCTTCTCCAGCTGGGCCAGCAGGAGTCGCTCTTGTTCCCCCAGGAACTGCTGCAGTTGGTGAAATTCAGACACAATCTTCTGCCTCTCGGTTTGTGTTTGTTTCTGTATGAAAATAGGGCAAGGGCTGGTCAGGGACATATGGATGGAGCCCGGGGTCTTTTCATGGAGAGCTGAGTGGGGAGGAGGCTGAATTTCTTTGAAAATCCTAAGATTTCTGACATTTGACTTTACCCTGTGCGTAGTAGGCAGGGGATTCTCTTGCACCTTCCCCTTTGGCCCCTGTATCCCTCTGAAAGGGATGTTTCCATTCCTGTCATGGTCAGCAAATTCTGTTATTTATGGTCTCTGGAAATTCCGACCCAGAGCAGCAAGAGGCAGGACTCAGCACTGTACTGACAGAGACACCAGGGGTGTTAAAAGAAACAAACATTTAAAAAATGCACAAAATGACCAGGCACAGCGGACAGCACTTCACGGGGCCATTCAGTTCACTTGGGGAGGATTTCTGGGTAAACAACAAGGGCTAGACATTAACTCATCAACTGCAATGGAAGCTTATGGCTTGTCTACACATGAACCTAACCCAGCAATCCATGATCATGGAGAAACACACACAAGACCATGTTCACCAAGGCCACAGAGGAGTCTGCCTCCAAACAGACTTCCCACTGCCACCGCTGGTTCAGAACAACAGGCACCTACCAGATACTCCCGGCTCTTCCCCTCTGCAGTCGCTTTCAATCCCAGCAGCTTTTCTCTCTCTTCCCTCAGAGTCTTGAAATGGGCCTGGATTCTTTCCTGAAGAAACAGAAATGATTTGGGAGGTTTCATCGGGATAGTTGAGATGTACTTGGAAGTGGGTGTTTTTCCACCCAAAACCCAAGATGACTGTGGTTCTAATTGCTTTGTGACATCAGGGCCACCAAGGAGATAAAATCTTACTAATGGAGACTGGAAGTGTGTCACATTCAGACTTGTTATCAATTCAGGTTCAGTCTTTTTAGTAATTAGACAGAGATCTCAATTATAACCAAGCTTTACTGGTATTTGTGAACTGATTAGTGGTACAGAGCGTAACAGGACACCAGAGTCACATGGGGGTGAATCAATAAACTTGTTTTGTAGAACATTTAACAAACCAAGTGATACAAATCCCAGAAGCCACCAGGGTTTAAATATGGGCTGGGATTTCAGCCCTGAAGCCCTGGGGACTGCACTGGTTGGGCAGAGCTGGTTTAAGCACCAGGGCAAACCCTATGATACGTCAGGAGGCCATTCGTCTGGTTGGAAGCTGCAAAGTCCAGTTTTGTGGAGCACTATCCCTGTCCGGCAGGGACTCCGCACCGGATGTGGCTTTGTCTGGTGCAGAAGTGAGAGGAGGAGACTGAGGATGTAGAAGGACACCCATGAGGGTGGGGGCAGGGCTGGAGTGGCACCTTCATGCAGAATGATGCAGGTGGGTGGCACGCTGAAAAAAGCAGTGGGGGGGTCCCACGCAGGATGGCTGCTACTGGTGAGGACGGGCCCATGCAGGCAGGCGTGGCCATGTCCTATGTTCTGGGGAAACCTCGGTGACCTCCCTAATTAGACATGATGCAGATTTGTATGAAGAACGGGTTGGGGTTTTCCCCAGTGCTGTCCTAAACCCTTTCCGTGGCAATGGCCCCTGGGCAGATGTCCCACGGTTCCATTCCCTGGTAAAGATCCCA